AGCACAGTCGGCCGACGGCCGGCCCACACGCCATACATGACCATTTGTACACCTCGGTGCTACGCTATTAGCGTGAAAGTTGACTGAAGGGTCTGAGGCTGGGGCCATATATTTCAAAGTGATGTTCAGAGTGTATTCAAGGGAGATCGTACGGAGCGGGATGGAGGAAAGACAAGACACTGCGGTGCTGAGTCGATGACCTGGCGGCTCTATATACGCAGATGTGGCGGGTCAGAGCCTGGCCAGGTGAATGGGATCAGTGGCGCGGTCGGTGCAGTCCTGAGCAGTGAGACGGATTTGAAGAGTCGTGCTAGATGCCGATCGATCGAAAGAGTCGGATTCATGCATCACGATTGGTCGGACGGCTGCTCGCGGACTGTCGCTTGGCTTACGCCGCAGGCAGCACATCAGGCTACGGGGTGTGAGCTTGGCGCTGGTTGGCGGGACCTACCTCCGTGCCGGACCTTTGCATCAGACAAAGCTTGGGAAACGTGATAAGCGCAAACGAGGTGGGTAGTTCCAGGGCTCCGTCTATGTTAGCGACAGCGCGCTAGACGCTAGAAAACAGAAGACGTATATAAATCGCACATCGGTACATCCATTGCTGGTAGTCATGAGAGCTTCGGTCCTAATAATATGAACGAAAGCACCAGTCAAACCCAACCCAAACTAGCGCAATGCATGACGCCCTGTCTGCTTTCCTAAAGTGATAGAGATATGGTCAGGCTCCCTGCAGATACTGAGTCGAGAACACATGCAGCAGAAAACAAGTGTTCCATTCGATGGTTGACTGAGGTGAGGGTGCTAGCTCAGCTGTCCGTTCTTTCTTTCCGTCCACCTCCACGACCACGCAGAAGCCCGTCGGGTGATTATCAGGTGTAGATAAACCAGTGGCTCCGACGACTGCAATAGTTCGAGTAAGTTTCAGACAGAGAAACTCAACAACATCTCTGCGTACCTGTGAGCGAGAAATCGATCTTTCCTTCCGTGGATTCCATGTCGCCAGACATCTGAAATCGCTCTCACAAAGGAATTTGCCCGAGCTATATGGCGGCTAAACGGAGGGTAGACGTATAGGGAAGTGGTTGGTTGCGAGGCTTGAGCACTGCGGCTGCCCATCTGAGTTCCCCATCATGAAGGAAATACGCTGTTATAATTAGAGAGGTACTCATATGGTGGCGAAATGAAGGGTACACTACCAATTTGGTTGGAGGCCGTGCAAAGCTGGCGCTGGTTGGCGGTACATGATGGTCGTCAATCGAAGAGTGCGGCTCTTGACTATGACGGACCTTCGTATCGGACAGAGGCGATAAGTACAGTCTCGTCTGGAGAGTAGAAGCGCAGGCTGGAGCTTGAACTTGAAAGGCTTCGAACGAGATAAATCACTACTTACCACGACAAGCGATCCCATCGTCACACTGGTTGGGCCGTTATCGGTGTTTGAACTTTGGAACCATTGGATCGTGTCCTCTTTGGTCCTCCACCAGCCCTTGCTGTTTACTGACCAGCTTTTGCTCGCTTGTTGGGCAGATTCAAGTCGAGGCTCGGAACCGTTCAGGACGGTGCCGAACCGTCCTGAACGCCTGCACAGTGTCTGAACCCAGAACTGGGGGCAGGTCCACTTCAGGCTCTCGTGTGATATTCGGACCGAAGCTTCCAAAACTGGACCTAAGTTCTGGTTCGAACCCTGGGGAAACACCTCGACCTCGAACTGGGTGGGGTGAGTACACATCCAACCACCAACCCGCGCTTCACAAAGCCCGCCCACAGCCCGTAAAAGTTCTCGCCCCCACTGAGCACCTGGTCCGCCTGCGCGATCGCGTAAAAGAACGAGGGGCTGCACTGCCGGCGCCCGTTCCTGTTATGCCGAAGGTAAGTCCGTTGGCACTCATTCAGGCATCCATAACTTACCTTATGGTCCCCAGAACGTCCGACTCGATTTGCTGCCGTCCCAAAAACTACATCGACACGGGGAGTTGTCGCAACGAAGAGGGGTCTGTAGAATGTTTTTTTTTTTTTTTTTTTTTTGAATCCATTCATGTCTATTCGGGGTATGTGTACCCTATGTTAGACACTAC